GAGTCCTGCCTCAGCTTCCCCAGTTCCCCAGTGCTGGGATTACAGGCGTTGCAGCACCACACCTGGCTTTTTTTCCCCTTATATTCTTTTTTAGGGGGAGGTAAGGGAATCGAACTCAGGACCTTGTGCTTGCCAGGCAGGTGGCGGCACCACTGAACTAAATCCCCAGCCAAGAGGAAAGAGTTTTTACTAAGAGTATAAGGAAAGGGGCCAGGGATTTAGCTCAGTGGTGCCACCGCCTGCCCTGCAAGTGCAAGGACCTGAGTTGGATCCCTGGTACCAAAAAAAACCCCTGACAGAACTCTAGAGACCTTAGATTCCCAGCCCAAATGTTACCTGCTTCCACAAGTAAACGCAACTGAGCACCACAAACCAACCATTGTTCTGAGAACCTTCAAAACAACCCTTTCAGGTCAGTCCAACTATTTCTATTTTATAAATTAGAGAATTAAGGAAAACAAAGATTATTTGTCCAAGGACAGCTCACTAGTCATTGTGAAAGAGCGTGGAGTTAAAAATTGTTTCTAACAATAATTAATTAAAAAATAAAAATTGTCCTTGTGCTATGGATTTTATTTAAACTCTATCACTGAGCTACATTCTCTGCCCTTCCCATAAGATTTTAAAACATCCTTCTTTTTCTTCTTTGATTTTTGAGACAGGATCTCACTGTGTATTTCAGGCTGGCCTTGAACTCAGCAGTGATTCTCCTGCCTCAGGCTCCCAAGTGCTGGGATTATAGGGGAGGGCAACCACACCTGTTGCTGAGAATCAAACTCAGGACCTTGCATTTGCCAGGCAGGCAGGGTGCCACTGAACTACATCTCCAGCCAAAACATGCTTCTGATATCATTTACCAGAAAAATTTCTAATTAAGTGTTTAGCACTCTCTACCAGTCTTTTATCTTAGTACTTATTTAGACCACAGATAATATAAATTATGTAAATCTTTGCTAATGAGATGGTTGCATGACTCCCCTCAGGTTTTAAATGTACTCTTCAGTCCATTTAGAAATCTAGTAGAGTTGTTTTTTTCTCTTCTCTTTGCCTTTAAAACAATTGTATAACAATACTGTGAAAACATGAATGGACTTTCAAAAAAAAGTTTATCTGGAATCTTGAGATATCCCAGACAGTCTCATTTCAGAGCCTGTGCTCTCTATTGCTATACTGATTAAAGGTTTGTTTCAGATGAAAACTTGAGTATAATTTCAAGCTATTGAGCACACAAAGTACTAGAAGCTCTAGGATACACTGGTGATATTGGAATTGTTGATTTGTGTGTTGGTTGTGTGTAAATCAACATGATGTTCTCTGATAATAATCATTTCCATTTTTTTGACTATCTGGTGACCACAGAAATAACATGAATACAAAGAAGTTTTTATGTGTTGATATTAGTTTTTTGGCTTTTTTTTAAGTAAGGTTTTTTATTTACCAAGGAATTGATTTCAAAGCAACAAGACAATTTAGTCTGTAATTTTACTTTTTGTCCCAGGAAAGACTCCTGACTCAGAAAGAGGATATCTGAAACATGTGGAATGATATTGAGCTGCTAACAAGTGATGATACCGGAAGTGGTTACTTAAGTGTTGGTTCAAGAAAAGAAAATGGAGCTGCTTTGTATCAAGTAGATTTGCTTGTGAAGATCTCCTCAGAAAAGGTAATGATTTTGGTGCTTAGGATGTAGCTCAGTGGTAGAGAGTTTGCCTAGCATGTGTGAGGGCTGTGGGTTCAAACCTCCTCTCAAAAAAATAGGTAATGCTGGGACAGGGATTTAGCTCAGTGGTTCCGCCTCCCTGGCAAGCGCAAGGTCCCGAGTTGATCCCCGGTACCAAAAAAAAGAATATCTACACTACCAGTGGAGTTGAAGGCTGAGGCTCTCTGATCATCTCTACCCCTGAGTTATGTAGAAGTTTGAGGTTTACACTTTCCATGCATTTCTTTTACATTTAAACTTCTTTCTTTCTTTTGGTACCAGGGATTGAACTTGGGACCTTACGCTTGCAAGGCAGGCGGTGGCACCACTGAGCTAAATCCCTGGCTCTAAAATTCTTCCTTTTAGTAATTCCACTCTTCTCACCTCAAGGTTTAAAACTTATCTTTTGCTTTTGATAGAAAGTATCACTGTTACTTTTTTTTTTTTTTTAAGTTCTTTGCTTCTGATAAAATATTGATAATGTTGGTGAACTGAGATTTCTTGTAGAGAAAATACGGGTGATCATTTGTTATAGTATTATCCTCCAATATTATACTTGCAGGAATTACAGGCATGCACCCCCATGACTGGTTTGACTTTTTAAAAATGAAGTTCTGGGGCTGGGGATTTAGTTCAGTGGTGCTGCCACCTGCTTCACAAGCACAAGGTCCCAAGTTTGATCCCCGGTACCCCCCCCCCGGCCCCAAAAATGAAGTTCTATATGTATTCAAAGAATCTGATAGGATCTTACAAAAAGAAAAAATTTTGGGGGGTGTGTGTCGAGGTCTTATTTAATCACTTTTTTTGTTTGTTTGATACCGGGGATCGAACTCAGGTCCTTGTGCTTGCGCAGCAGGCAGCGAAACCACTGAGCTAAATCTCCGGCCCTTATTTAATCACTAAGTTATCCAGGCTTCACTAGAACTTGCTATCCTCCTGCCTCCACCTTCCAGAGTGCTGGGATCTCAGGTATGAACCACCACACCTGGTTTACTCATCGTATTTTGAACATCAATTGTGTCCAGAGCCCTGTGCTAGGTACTTGGACATAAGATGGCATATTATCCCTTCCTTTTAGGAATTTACCTTAAAGTTAGGCAGACACAACATAAACAACAGGAGATATTTAGCTGTGTGAGTCAGCATATGCTGAATGCCACGTGAATGGTACAGACAGTAAATACAGGAACTCAAAGGATAGAGAGCTCATGTTGCTCTGGCAGTTTAAGGAGCTCTTCCTAATGCAGCTGTACTGGACTTGGGCCTTGAGAAGAAGGGGAAGAGCTGGGCGTGGTTGTGCACACCTGTAATTCCAGCTACAACTCAGGAGGCTGGGCTGGATGATCGAAAATTTGAGTTTAGTGGGGCAACTAAGCTAGACCCTGATTTAAAAATAAAAGCTAGAACTTGGGGGATGTAGCTCAGTTTGAGCTCCTGAGATCAATCCCTGGTACTGCAAAAAAAGAGAAAAAAGGGAGTAGAGCAGTTCAGGCAGTGAGAACAGCATTGGCAGATCCCTAGATAGCACAGTTCCTATTGGCAGTGGTGTAACTTTCCACTAGTCAAAGAAGCAGTAGAAAGAGTAGAAGAGAGGTCCAGATGTGGTGGGACTTTGAAGAATTGTACATCAAGAAGGTAACCCTTGAAAAAGGCATAAATTGAAATGATTGGCTTATTTTGCCAGGGAAGAATAAGAGCAGTTAACATTTGCTAGGTATATGCCATGTGTGAAGGTTCTCTTCCAGACCCTTTCTGTGCATTATGTGCATTCATTTGATTTCCATACAAACAAGCATTGTCGATATTACTGTTATTATCACTCCTGCTTTACAGGAATGCTGCTGAGGCATTTGTCCAAAATCACTCAGCAAGTAAGCCTTTGAGCTCTCTGGACGGTAAAGCTGGCCCTGGATAAGTTGGGAAGTGTGGCCAAGCCAGTTGCATTTCCCCAGGGCTTTCCATGGCTGGTGCTAAGCATGCTGCTTTATGCAGGTTCTTTTCTGTGAGGGCATGTGCCCTTCAGCTCACAGTTCACCACTACCCTGCTCTGTAGCATAGCTGTGGCACTGAGACCTCGAGCCAGTTCATTCATTTGTGTTAATGCCTAGCTCCTACAATGTGAGATCAACTCTTTAGGAAAACAAGGGAATCCCTTGCATTTCCCTATCCATCCTGGACTGTTTCCCTGCTCAGAACCCCGGATAGGTCTAAGATAAACCATACAAAGGAAAACTTGATGACTAGTTAGATAGATGGACTGAGGAAAAAATGCCTTTCTGTTTTTTGTTTTTGTTTTGTGGTACCGGGGATCTAAATACTGATCTTGATTTCTCTCCCACAGGCCTCATTAAATCCAAAGATTCAAGCATGCAGCTTGAGTGATGGGTTTATAATTGTAGCAGACCAATCAGTGATACTGCTTGACAGTATTTGTAAATCTCTTCAACTGCATCTTATATTCGGTAAGGCTAATGTAATGAAATACATCAGAAGTATATCTTGCTATTAATTGGTAATAGACTACTGTTTCTTTACTCCGTTATTTCTAATAAGAGTAGACAAAGCTCAAGATAATGTGTCTTTAAAATTTTGAGGCAGGATCTTTTTTTTTTGAGTACTGGGGATCGAACTCGGGACCTTGTGCTTGTGAGGCAGGCAGTGGAACCACTGAGCTAAATCCCCGGCCCTGGGCTTGAACTTTTGATCTTCCTGCCTCAACCTCCCAGAGTGCTGGGATTACAGGCAAGTGCTACCATGCTTGTTTCATGTGTGTGTTTTGGGGGTGTGGGGGAGTGCTAAGACTCAAAGGATACTGCGGTAATCTATTCTCTCATATCTAAGGCGAAACATATCTGTGAAGCAGTAATTTAGTTTACTTGCCTGGTTTTTATTATAATACTGAATATTTGAGCCTGTTTGTGTTCAGGTTCCTGAGTCTTTTATTGTTATTATTTTTTTTTAAGTTTCCAAATCTTGTAGTTTCAATATCAATAGGTATATGAATACTTTTAGAATATGTAGTGCTGTAAAAATCTTATGCATTATTTATGAATTCTTCAAGTGAAAGGACTTTAATTGTGTGCAAACATGAACTTGCAAGTGATTTAAGGAACACATCAGTGATTGCACTGAAGTTAGGTGAAAATATTATGTACCTTTTTTCGTTTGTTTCTTGAGTAGAAATTTTGTGGAAAAGATAAGTGTTGGAGTATTTGTATAAGAGCTTAGCCAAAAAGGAGTGAGAAAGCATGCGTTTGAGAACATAATCTTGATTACAGTGTGGAGGCAAGAAACCCATGTCTGTGAAATACAGTATTAATGTCCCTACCCTGATCAGTGACCAAGATTCACAATTTCCTCAATGATGTAGTGGGCTGTGGTATCCTGTAATTCATTTATGTAAAGATAATTGCTGCTAAACAATTGTAGTTCATATATCAGCTACATATTATTGCTCTTTTTTTTGGTTGTTTTGAGTCAGGGTCTCCCTTTGTAGTTCAGGCTGGCCCTGAACTCACTATGTAGCTCAGCCTGGCCTTGAACTTGTAGCAGTCCTCCTGCCTTAGCCTCTCAAGTGCTGGGATCACAGGCATGTGCCACCATGCCCAGGTTATTGCTCTTATCTCTTATTCTTTCCCTCAGTTTCCACACCAGTTGCCTTGGTCTTCTTGCTGCTGTGCAAACACACAGGCTAGTCCCCACCTGGTGACCCTTGCCCAAACTGTCCACTATCTGGAACTACTCTTCTCTTTATCACTTCAGCTACTTCCTGATCTCCTTTAAGTCTTCCCAGTGCTCTGATTAATACTGTAAAATGCATGGTTCTTCAGGGTCTCTTTGTACCCTCCTCTCCCTTTTGTTTTTTTCCAGAATACTCACCACCTTTTCACACATCTCACTATTTATTATGTGAACCATTTTATCATCTATTTCTGGCTTAAAATAGGAGGTCATGAGCTGGGGATTTAGCTCAGTGGTTCCGCCGCCTGCCTCGCAAGCACAAGATCCCGAGTTCGATCCCCGGTACCAAAAAAAAAAAAAAATAGGTCACTAAACCTGGCATGGTGGTACAGGCCTGTGGATTGTAATCCCAGCACTTGGGAGGCCCAGGCTGGAGGATCCTTGGGAGCTCAAGGCCAGCCTGAACTGCATAGTTAGACCTTGTCTCAAAAAAAACCAAAAAACCCAAAAACAATTCAAGGTCAATGATGGTGGGAATCTTTTGTTATTTTCACCCATGTGAAAAGGTCCCAGAACAATGCTGAGCATGTAACAAGTGTTTGGTAAACATTTGTTGACCTAATCAAAGTTAGCAGTGGGCTGGGGATTTAGCTCAGTGGTGCTACTGCCTGCCTCACAAGCACAAGGTCCTGAGTTTGATCCCTGGTGCCAAAACCAAAGTTAGCAGTATTCTTTTATACTTTTCAATATTTTCACAATATTTACAAGTAGCTTAAATGATAGATTGTTTAGTGACACTTTGCATTTTTTTGTATCAAAAATAATCCTTTCAAAGGAAGCTTGTAATCTTGATTTCAAATTTTCAGATACTGAAGTGGATGTAGTTAGCCTGTGTCAAGAAGGGAAGTTTCTTTTGGTCGGGGAGAGAAACGGCAACTTGCACCTCATTCATGTGATGTCAAAGCAGACCTTACTCACTAATGTAAGATCTTGTTATGTTTTCACTTTTATGTAAAATCTAAACAATCTTTTGGATAACTGGAGCTCTTACAAACTATTTACCTTGGGTTGTAAATGAAAGAATAATTTTTTTTGTATTTAATTTAAGAATCAACCTCAGAAATATATGAAGTAAATGCAAAATTAAAAAATTAAGCTCTAAAGATATTTAGTATGCTTGTCCAAAAGTAATTCTCCATTTTAAAACTAAAGTGTTTGGAATATAGGCAGAGTTATTGCTAATGGTAAATAATAACCCTGTGGTTTAAAGAATATAATCACTCATTGTATTTTTCTAACCTTTTTCTTTTTTTTTTTTTTTTGTATGGGGAATCGAACTCAGGGCCTCACGCTTTCCAGGCAGGCGCTGCACCACTGAACTACATCCCCAGCCCTTTGTAACTTTTTAAAAAATTAATTTTTTTGGTATACAATATTTTTCTAACTTTATCATTTGAAATTAATTTCTAATTAGGCTTTTATTGAGAAAACTAATAATGAAAATCAACCTACTTACCGGAATCTTATTATTGAAAAAGATGGTTCAAAGGAAGGTAAATATTCTTGAATTTTTTTTTTTTTGGCATGTCTTCTCATACCAAAACCCCCACATTTATGTGTAATCAATGGTATAAATTTCTTGTTAAACTATACAGTGTTAAATTTTCCACTGATGCAAATATTATTATAAAAACAGGGGTTTTTTTGGTACCAAGGATCGAACTCGGGACCTTGCACTTGTGAGGCAGGTGCCAGCACCACTGAGCTAAATCCCCGGCCCTAGAAAGTTTTTTAAGTTTTAGATATTTCCAGAAGATTGGTTCTTTTTTTTTTTTTGGTACCGGGGATTGAACTTGGGACCTTGTGCTTGCAAGGCAGGCGCTAGAACTACTGAGCTAAATCCCTGGCCCCCTGAATAGGTTCTTTTCCTTTTTCCTTTTTTGAGGCAGAGTCTTGCTATGTAGTTCAGGCTGGACTTGAACTCACTATGTAGCCCAGTCTGGTCTCAAACTCCTGGGGATCCTTCTGCCTCAGCCTGCTGAGTGCTAGGATTACAGGCATGTGCCACCACTCCCAGCAATTTTTCTAAATATAATATTCTAAATTTTTTTTTTTTAATATTTAACCCTAGTTTTCTTTTTTATATGTATGTATTTATTTATTTATTTTGTACCAGGGATCGAACTCAGCACCTTGTTGCTTGTGAGGCAGATGTCAGCACCACTAAGCTAAATCCCCAGTTATAATATTCTAAATTTATTTTTATAGTGTAACTTTGTTTTTGTGTTTGTGTTTTTATTTATTTATTTATTCTTGATGGTACTGAGGAACCAAGAGACTCCCACTAAGCTATATATATATATATATATATATATTTTTTTTTTTTGGTACTGGGGATCGAACTCCTGGTCCTTGTGCTTGCAAGGCAAGTGGAAGAACCACTGAGCTAAATCCCCGGCCCCCACTGAGCTATATTTTTAAACAGGCTCTCACTAAATGACTAAATAACGTAGGCTGGGTTTGAACTTGAAATCTTCCTGCCTCAGCTTCCTAGAGTGCTGGGAATATAGGTGTGTGCCCCCATACCCAGCTAAGGAAACATATTCTTTTAAAATGTTTTTCTGGCTGGGGATGTAGCTCAGTACTTACCTAGTGTGTGCAAGGCCCAGGATTCAATCTCCAGTACCTCAAAAATTAATTAAATTAATTTTAAAAAATAAAACTTAGAACCAGGCCTTCAAATGCTAAAACTTAGGTTTCATCAAGAGTTCATTTTACAAAAAAGAAAGTTTTTGTGGGTTTTAGCATACTTGTCATATTTCGATTTCAATAAATGTTACCTGGACAATTATATATCTGAATTTTTTTCTGATAAGGCAAGTTTGGTTTTCAAATAAAAGTTTCAAAGACTTTACCATTGTTTTTATTAAAATAACCAACAAATTTTTGTAAATAAGCTTTAACGATATCATTACAATATTATTTGATTAGAATTTAAATGAGGAAATTGACCTTTTTTTTTTTTTTTTTGGGTACCGGGGATTGAACTTCAGTCCTTGTGCTTGCACATCAGGCGGCAAAACCACTGAGCTAATCCCTGGCCCCAAATTGACATTTTTAAGCTAGTTCAAGATACTGGTTTAAATTTTGTGTCCATGTGCCTTTTAGAGACTCTCATTTTAATATTATTATTTTAATAGGTACCTATTATATGTTGCTTCTTACAAACAATGGATTTTTTTATATTACAAATCTTCAGCTTGTAAAAATTCAGCAAGGTAAGTAACATTATTTTCTTATTGATTTGCAGCAATATTTATTAGTTTTTCAGTTAAATTTTCAAATATTCTCCTTAAGAATATTTTAGTTTAATTGTGTACTATGGTACTGGGTATATATTCAAGTATTCCGAGTATACTTACTTCTTCTGATGGCTGCAATAGAATCTCAAGAAATGTAATTTGGTTACAGCTTCAAGGAGTTTGGAGCTTAGTTGGGGTGAGAAGACATAGGCTAGCACAATAATAAATGCTTTTTGGTGGAGTGAATGAACCTGGAAATGGAAATGACCATATAGGTGTTGATAGTGCAGAGCCATAATTCATTTCAGCCTATGAGATTGAAAAATTGAATCAGAACAAGTATTTAACAAATGTTTCATTTTATTTTAGTTTTTTTGATTTTTGTTTTTTTGTTTTTGTTTGTTTGTTTTTTAAGACAGAGTCTTGCCTTGTGGTTGGCCCTGAACTCACTGTGTAACCCAGGGTGGCCTCAAACTCATCACGATCCTCCTGCCTCAGCCTTCCAAGTGCTGGGATTATAGGCGTGAGCCATCACACCTGGCAGATTTTTGGACTTTTGAGACACTGTCTAGCTATGTAGTTCAGGCTGGTCTTGAATCACCATGTAGCCCAGGCTGTCCTCAAACTTAGGGTGATCCTCCTGCCTCAGCCTCCCAAGTGCTGATATTATAGGTGTGCTCCAACATGCCCTGCACAACAAATGTTTTAAAACATCTATGCTAGGTCTGAGCTAGGTTCTGATTATGTGAAGAGATTTGAGTTCCATAGTTCTTTGTAGTTTTATGAAGAAGCTAGATGAGTAATAAAGGAGCTATTCCAAAACAGTGAGAATTGATGAAACTTTACAGGTGGGACTTGAGAGCTTGAATAAGAGTAGCAGAAGTGGGGCAAGAAGACCCCCTTGGTAGGAAGAAACATGGCTGGGGAGGTACACCGAGGGACTAAGTCAGCTTGGCTGGTTCCCCAAATAGAACGTGTCCTCAGAGTTTATAGCATTAGTCAGTGCTGAAACTGAAAAGTCAGCAGTAACGTATTTCTTCTGTCCTGTGTTCTTTGAGCTAAAATGCAGTAATTTCACTTTGAAACAAAAAGAATGAGTTGAATTATTTTTTAGATTGATACTGTAAGTTTAACCTGCTTTCTTTTTTAATGCAGCGATTGAGAATGTAGATTGGGATACAGCCAAAAAAGTAAGAAAGCAAAACTATGCTATTGTCTTTCAACTTAAATTTAGTATAAATGTAAAATGTTTCTATATGTAATTGACCTACTGGTTAATATTTTAGGAATTACTATAACATTTTAATAACTTATTTGAAAGTATATTTATAGCTGATTGATTTAAGCTGATTCTTGTGCTTTTTTGTGGGGCATAAAAATGTATATAATCTAATTTTTAAAATTTTGCAGTTACAGGGACAGATCAGATCCAGTTTTATTTCTACTGAAAATTACCATACTATTGCTTGTCTCAGTCTTGTAGCCGGAGATTTAGCAAGTGAAGCTCCTGTGATAATTGGGGTAATTCTTTCTATAAAATTTTTGTTTGTTGCCTGAAGTGTTTCTTTGACAGCGTGTTATCTTTTTAGTTAAATTTCAAAGTAATTTGTAACATGTAAGAAAAAGGAAATTATAAAAATTAGTTTAATAAAAATAAAATTAGGTTAATAAAAATTAATTTTTAAAAACCCAAAGTTTCTATCTTGGAAAAATATTGCATCTTTATTTTCAATAGCCTTGCCCTGAAAATTTAGCATTTCTTTCAAGTCTGATTAGACAGATACAACAAAAACAAAACCAGAATGTTCCACAGTTATAGTAATGCTTGTGACTTTGTCACTAAGTAGAAATCAGATTTATTTGTTTGATTTTTTTACAGTGCTGGGAATTGAACCCAGGGCCTTGGACATGCTAGGCAAGTGCTCTTCCACTAAGCTAATCTCCCAGCCTGAAATCACAGGTTGTTGTATTTTTTTGGTACTGGGGATCAAACTCAGGACCTTGTACTTGTGAGGCAGGCACTGGCACCACTGAGCTAAATCCCCAGCCCATTTTTTAAAAAAAAATCACATTATTTTAAAAAAGATTACATTATTGCAGCTATCTTAAAATATTTTTTATACATCACTACTTTAAAATCATAGTGGATGCTGGATGTGGTGGCGCATGCCTGTAATTCCAGCACTTGGGAGACTGAGGCAGGAGGATTGTCTGAGTTTGAGGCCAGCTTGGGGTACATAATGAGTTCAAAACCAGCCTGAACTATGTATTAAGACCCTGTCTCAAAAAAAACAAAAAAAGAAAAAAAAATCATCATGGCTATTCAGTGTCTATCAGAAAGTACATTTACTTTTGGTGACAAACTCAGAAGTTCTCAGGAGCCTACTGTTTTATTTTGGATTTTGCTTTTTTTTTTTTAGTGGGGGATACCAGGGATTGAGCTCCACACCTTGTGTTTTGCAAGGCAGGCGGGGTGCCACTGAGCTAAATCCCCAGCCCTGCTTATGTTTGAAAGTAAAAGAAATCCTAAACTTCAGGTGATTTCTGCAAATATGTAAATTTTTTTTCCTATCCAGGTTTACAGATCCTTGTAATCTTGAAATAAGCCAAGTTAAAAATCTCTATTTTAGGCCCAGGGATTTAGCTCAGTGGTTCCGCCACCTGCCTTGCAAGCCCAGGGACCCAAGTTCAATCCCCGGTACCAAAAAAATTTTAAAAATCTATTTTAGAAATGGTCCTAGAGAATAAAAAACCCTGTCTTTTTTTTTTTTAAAACCCTATCTTGTAAGCGGTCCTACTTTGTTCTCAATCTTGGTTGGCCAACCAACTTGCAAGTACTTGTTACTATCCAAATGAGAAAATGGGCAAAATACTGGAAGAGGTCTTAAAGTTCATACTATGTCTTTTTAGGGCAAGATCCCTGAATATGCCTACTCCTTATTAAATGTTATTCATGTAATAACAATGAATATCAACATTCAGTTCTTCTCATTCTCTCCTGAAACTAAGAGGAACTGGGAGATAAAAGCTAATTGGACTTGAATATGTCAATTTTGGGGGGAGTACCAGGGATCGAACTCGGGTCCTTGTGCTTGTGAGGTGGGCAGCGGAAGCACTGAGCTAAATTCCTGGCCCACCCGGCCCATATTACTCATTTAAAAATGTATTTACAGGGCCAGGGATTTAGCTCAGTGGCACTGCACCTGTGTTGCAAGTGCAAGGTCCTGAGTTCGATCCCTGGTAACACAAAAAATAAAAAAAGAGTAATATACACAGTTTTCATGCACCTACTTTGAGAAGTATTCAGATCTTAGAACCAAATTTACGACTGTTGTACTATTTTTGCTTTTTAGGGAGTTGGTAATTGTGTATTCTCAAAATGGAAGCCAGACTCTTCCAAAAAAGAAATGACAGTTAAGAACCTTGTTGATGCAGAAATTATTAAAGGTAAAATGAGTTAATGAAACTATTTTCTGTAATTTTTTTTTTTTTTTGATACCGGGAATCAAACTCAGGACCTTGTGCTTGCAAGGCAGGTGGCAGAACCACTGAGATAAATCCCTGGCCCTTTCTGTAGTGATTAACAAGTTGTAATGTTCATGTTAATATACTTGGGCTAGTATATGGGCTTTTTACCAATCATTCTTTGAAACAAGCCAGATTTTTTTTTTTTGGTACCGGGAATCGAACTCTGGACCTTGTGCTTAGATTATTCGATTATTGTCTGTAACGTGACTGTTCTTGACATGTTGCAGTTCTTACTTTGTTTTGGAGAGTTTATATTTTAATGGTCATTCAAAAATATTAGAGGCAGGAATAAATGAAAATGGGAACATTTTTTTCTTTTGAAAATGGGAACTTTTAATTTAGATGTTCTGGGTGTCTCATTATGCAGAGTGACAGCTGGGGGGCATCTGCTTGGCCAAGTAGACGTGCAGGTGATGGTCTGAGGTGTCACTGGCAAGCTAGGAACCATGGAGATGGCCTAAGTGACCCCCAAACTATACACTGATTCTCACCTCAGTGATACAGAGGTTCCTACAGCATATGCAAGATAACTTCCACACCTTACCCGACCAGATCTCTGGAAGAACTGATGATATGTGTATAGTCACAGTGATGATCTGGGGAAAAGCATCACTTCATGGTGCAGGCTGGGGTGGAAGAACTGGAAGGGGAAAGCAAGACACCTGCCACTCAAAGGAGTTGAAGTCGCTGATAGTTTACACTGAAATCTGGAAAACCATTTTCTCAAGCCAAGAGACAACTGAATGACTTTTTGCAAATAACTGCCATATGTAGACAGGTTAATACTGTAAAGTGTGGGGGCTCTTTTGGTGGGGAGGGAACTTGTTCAGTTGCTTTAACGTTTTTTGTTTTTGTTTTGTAAGATAGGGTCTCGCTATGTAGTTCAGGCTGGGCTTGAGCTCACTGTGTAGCCCAGGCTGTCCTGGAACTTTAGATGATTCTCCTCCCTCAGCTTCCTGAGTGCTGCTGGGATTACGGGCGTATGCCACCAGCTAATGTTCTTAATTATTAAATACTAAAGCTTTGGCAGTTCCTGCATATTATGTCAGATTTTTTTGTTTGTTTTGTTTTTTTGAGACAGGGTCTTGGTATGTAGTTCAGGCAGGCCTTCAACTTATTACGTAGCCCAGGCAGGCCGCATGGTGATCCTCCTGCCTCAGCCTCCCAAGTGCTGGGATTATAGGCATGTGCCACCATGCCCAGCCAATTGTCAAATATTTTTTTGTGGTACCAGGGATTGAACTCAGGACCTTGCAGTTATGAGGCAGGCGCAGTGCCACTGAGCTAAGTGCCTGGCCCTGTCAGACATTTTTGTTTTGTTTTGGGTTTTTTTGGGTAGCGGGGATCGAACTCGGGTCCTTGCACTTTCGAGGCAGGCAGCAGAACCACTGAGCTAAATCCCCGGCCCCCAGACATTTTCGTTAAGTCATTTTTTTCTTCTCCTTTTGTGCTAGTTGTTTGATAACAGCTACTGTATAATTTTGTTAGATAGATAGTAAATCCTTCAATTATTGTTTAAAAAGTAAATGTAGTTCTAGCTTTCTAGAAATATGATTTTAATTTTAGTATGGCTATATAGGTAGCATGAAAATAAAATTCTTAGACATCTTGCTTTCTCTTTTTTAGGTGCAGTGAAGTTTCAGCTGATAGACAATCTACTTTTCGTTCTTGATACTGATGTATGTTTCTGATATTCCTTTGCCAGTGTTTTCACTTGATATTATGTTTTTTGTTTATTTGTTTGTGGAGCTGGGAGTGGAACCTGGGAACTCATGCAAAGCAAGTGCTTTACCACTGATCTGTACCTCTAGCTCCAATGTTACTTTTAAGAGAAAAACTATTGTCAAACTTACAAGAGCCCAGGGGCTGGGGGTTTAGCTCAGTGGTTCTGCCGCCTGCCTCGCAAGAGGAAGGACCCAAGTTCGATCCCTGGTACAAAAAAAAAAAGATATGGAGGATACAGGAGCCCAGCATAGTGGTGCACACCTGTAATCCCAGCACTTGGGAGGCTGAGGGAGGAGGATTACCAAGTGTTTGAGGCCAGCCTGGGCTATATACTGAGTTAGGGCCAGCCTGAACTACAAAGGGAGAACCTGCCTCAAAAAAAAAGAAAAAAACTTTCAAGGCCAAGGACTTCAGCTGGGCTAGATTACTGTCTTATGTACTGGGCTTTATTTCACTATACATATAAAAAATATATCCTGAAATGTAAATTTATAACCATTACGATATATGAGTGCAGTGTCTCTTGCAGAACGTGCTGAGTTTGTGGGATACTTACACTCTCGCCCCCATCTGGAACTGGCCATCTCTTCACATAGAGGACTTTCTTCTTACCACGGAAGCAGATTCTCTTTCATCAGTTACCTGGTGCGTTGGAACTCTAGCTAGGACAGTGTCCCTTCTCTTCACACTGGGTTTTGTGTCTGGTTTCGTTCAGATCATTTTATTATGTTTTGTATTCTAAACCACACTGTAAAACAGTGTAGTAGAATAAGGACTGATTTGCTGTTTGTCTTTTTTCCATTGGGAACAAAAAGACAATATGAACCTTCAAGAGTTGTTTGAGATAGAGTATCAGGGGCCGGGGATTTAGCTCAGTGGTTCCACTGCCTGCCTTGTAAGCACAAGGTCCCAAGTTCGATCCCTGGTACCAAAAAAGAGATAGAATATCAGTCTGGGCCATAAACATGGAGAAATAGAATCCAGTGTCCTCTCAAGTCCATTTTAACATTTATGTAAGAATATCACATTAATGAGGCTTATATCTAGTGATCAGTAAAGCTTGTTTGGTTTACTCACAGCTTCTTTTCTCATTTTAGGCAAGGGATTACAAATCTCAAGTTAGTAGCTCTGACAACTACAGCTAATAAGAAGGTATTGGAGAATTTTATTTCATGTCCATACTGTGTGTTACAAATAGCATTTACTGGGGCCGGGGATTTAGCTCAGTGGTTCTGCTGCCTGCCTCACAGGCAAAAGGTTCCGAATTCGATCCCTGGTACCAAAAAAAAAAAGCATTTATTAACACAAAAGTAGATAGTAAGTAGTGCTCACAGTATATTAGTTCTTAGCTCACAAATAGTTGACAAATCAGAAATAATCTTGCAGAATTCTTTTATTGTTTCAAAGAAAAGGGATATAAATCTTGGTTGCATATTTTACTTTATTTTTTTTGCGGTACCAGGTATCGAACTCAGGACCTTGAGCTTGCAAGGCAGGCATGGTGCCACTGAGCTAAATCCCTGTGCCTTGGCTGCATATTTTAAACAGCATTTTAGGAACAAAAAACATTCCTAAGAAAATGTTTATTAGGGTGATTCTTGTAAAATTCTGGGAGTCAGGAATTACTTTCACCGTTAAATACAAATTGTGGAATGGACTTATATAAATTTTCATGCAATAGATGTAGAAGGTAGAATAGAACATAAATTTATCTGTAATATTTAAGTTATACAGTAACAAGCTTGCCTATAAAGGATTTTTTTGCATTAGCTTTGTATATGAATGTTTTGAATATGTGGTTGTGATTGTCAAGTGCTATCTTATGTGTGTAGGGTTATATTAACCTGCTAAGTTAATTGCTTTTCTATTTCTCTTAGATGAAAAACCTTGTGGTTTATGCATTACCTACAATGGAAATACTATATTCTTTGGAAATATCTAGGGTTTCTTCTCTTGTTCAATCAGGAATTAGCACGGTAAGTTTGTACATATTTTAAAGTACTTTATAATGATTTTAACAATAATTAATCTAACTGTGAGTAGAAGCTAGTAAAACACCTGGATAGATCTCAGGTTTGTACCTGCATTCATTACTAGCAGAGTTTGTCAAATACACTTACATGACCAATGTCAATCTTCATATAAAAAAGGAAAAAGAAACCAGACATGGTGGCACAGGCCTGTAATCTCAGCCTCTTGGGAGGCTGAGGCAGGAAGATCACTACGGTTTGAGGCTACCCTGGCCTATGTAGTTAACTCAAGACCAGCCTCCTGAACTACATAGTGAGACCTTGTCTCAAAAAAAAAAAAAGAGGGCCAGGGATTTAGCTCAGTGGTTTTGCTGCCTGCTGCGCAAGTGCAAGGACCTGAGTTCAATCCCCTGTACCCCCCCAAAAAAAGTAATAAAGAAAGAAAAGAAAATCAGGTAAATAAAACATCACTCATCTCTCCAACTTTATTAAATATCTGCAGGAAGTATAAATAATAATTAACTTTTGGGAGTTGTGCATTTGTTTTTAAGTATTATTTTAATTGTTCAAATTCATGGAGTATACTACATGAATAAAGTGTATAATAAATAAGTTAAAGTAGTTAATATTTCCATCTCCTTAATCATTTAAAAGTTTTTGGATTAACATGTAATAATTGTATATAATAATTTAGTGTGACATTTTAATTTATTTTACATTGGAGTCTTTTTAAAAAAAGATTTTACCATTTTTTTTAATATATACGCACAAATACCATATAGTCTATTATTCCAAACCATTTAGAAATTATTTGTAGACTTCCTGACCTGTCACCTCTAAATGTTTAAGCAAATGTCTTTTATTTTTTAATTAAAAAATTTTTTTTTGCTTTTTTGAGATGGTCTGACCATGTAGTCCAGGTTGGCCCTGAAGTCACTATGTAGCCCAAGCTGGCCTTAAACTCTTGTGGCAATCCTCCTGTCTGGCATTACAGATGTGCGGCACCATGCCTGACTGGAAATATCTTTTTTTTTTTTCTTTCCGGTACTGGGGATCCAACTCAGGACTTTGTACTTGGCAGGAAGGCACAGCACAACTGAGTTAAATCCATGGCCCTGGAAATACCTTTTAACAATAAGGGCATTCTATAGTACAAGTTATTACTATTGGACAATTTAACATTAACATGATACTATTGTGAAATATACATTCCAATTTCAAATTTTACCAATTATACCACTTACTTGAAAGCTATATTTTTTTCTTCATCCAAGATCTAATTGAGGCTGTCTTACGGAATTTAGTTGTATTGGTCAGGAGGTAGTATAATCTAGAACAGTTCTGAATCTTTTGTCTACTTTTTTTTTTTTGGTACCTGGGATCGAACTCGGGTCCTTGCACTTGCGCAGTAGGCTCAAAACCACTGAGCGAAATCCCCGGCCCTGTCTACTTTAAGATATTGACATTTTTCTTTCTTTTTTTTTTTTTTTTTTTTTTTGGTACCGAGGATTGAACTCAGGTCCTTCCGCTTGCGAGGCAGGTGGTGAAACCTCTGAGCTAGATCCCTGGCCCGAGATATTGACATTTTTGAAGTCTCAGAGTATGGTTTTGTAAGTGTTTTTGTGTTTGGATTTGTCTAATGTTTTCATCGTGATTAGACTATGTTAAACTCTTTTGGCACAAGTACTACATGGGTTAGTTTTATGTCCTATGTGTCTTGGTTACTTTTCTTGTTGCTAAGACAAAATACCCAATATCCAAAGTTAAAGGAGGAAAGGTTTATTTTGGCTCCTAGTTTGTAGAGGTTTCAGTCCATAATGAGCTGGCTCCAAGGCAGGATGGCATGGTAGAGGAGAAACAGTTCATGGCAGGCAGAAGGCTCTAAGCCAGTGAGCTACAAGTGACAACAGCAGCGCTTTCTGTGCCTTATATATATATATATATAATATATATTTATATAATATATATTTTATATTATAATATATATAATATATTATATATATAATATATATTATAT